TTGAAAACAAGAAAGACACTGAAAACGTGATTTGTGAATGCAAATAAAAAAATCGAAATGAAGTTGTTTGTGAAAAATCACTTGACCTTTTTGGTTAGATTAGATAAGATGGATGGGATCAACGATTGCTTTAGCCTTAAGGGTGCTTCTCAGCTTTCTGCTTGCCAATAAGCATTCTCCACTAATGCATGACGATTGATAATACTAATAATCTATGGATTACCTAAATATATTGGTCCAACTTACTTTTCGGTAGCAAAGAATAGCAATTTTATTAATTAGATTGTTGAAAATCGTCCAGCACAATTCATTTGACAAATTTTGGAAAAAAAAATTTCACAGGGGTCAACAATGTCCTCTGATTAACTGTTAAAACTTAAAAGCCAACCGCAAGATGCAATAGTTCATCAACTCCAAATGGTTGCAAAAGCTACTCAGCAAATGAAACATGTAAGCAATTAGTTTTTTCTATAGACAGAAAGAACACACACACCCAATTAGATTAGAATGCTCAGAAAGTCATCGCCAAATTGAGTCAGAGACTAATCTAAGGGGGACCCACAAACCAACACCTTCCAACCAATTGGTGACAGGAGGGTGCGGTTAATGACCTTAAACCCAGATTCATTAAAGAACCCATAATCTTTCGATGTGGGCCCTCCCGAGCACATCCTCGTCAAATAAATGGTTTGTTTTTTCCATGGACAGAAAGAACACGCACACCCAATTAGTTAAGACGAACTAAACTAGCTTTCGTATACTTTGACAGAAAATTAACTTACCAAACGAAAAGAATGTGGTTATTAAGCAATTAGTTAAGACGAACTTTCGTATACTTTGACAGAATATTAACTTACCAAACGAAAAGTCTGTAGTTATTAAGTACACACGTGGTGCAATGAGTGCCGGTAATACATAGCCTCCAGTGAAGGCCTTTTTTTTTTTTTTTTTTTTGTCGCCTAGCAGCGAAGAATTATACGGCTGTAGAAACTTGCACCATTTCAATCATCAATATCTTGGGAAAATTTGAAAAAAGAAAACAAGGCGATTAAAAATTCATAAGTAGGATATAACTATTAAAAATTTTTAAAATGCATAATTCAGTATACATACGTGCACATATATGGTTTTGAATATGCATATTCATATATATATATATATATATATATATATGCGCACGCGTGCACGTATGTTCATCAAAATGCATATTTTTATTTATTAAGCTGAGTAACTGTATAGCAGTGTTATTGAACAAGGTACACATTATTATGAGGCTGATCCAGTCATTTAATGGTAAATTTATTACCTATTTAAATGTGCGAATAATAGCCCATTCCCATTCACACATTATCTATCAAAAGACAAGTTACGCTCTTCTTATGACTATTTCATTTTCCTATTCCCAATTTTCAAAAATTTCCCGTTGTGTTTCAATTACAGTTCAAGACGCGTCACTCTGAATCTCTCATACGAATTACTGAGTCTATTATGTCTGATATGATATAATCATCAGTCATCACTCGGTTTTCTTGGTTAGCACGTCTTTGATTCTTTACAGAATTATTCGCCGCAAATGAAGTATATATTCAAACGAATATTAGACTAAGATTGATTGATGGTTCTTCATGTTGTCACATTAACGCTCCATAGCTTCAAATTTCAAGCATCATTATTATTAAGTTGGTATGTTCTTCACCAGCAACAGCAAGCTTATCTGTTATTGGTGTTTTAAGATGACATCTCACTGGAAGTCAAAATATAACTATCAAGCAGTAAAGAAATTGTGTGTTTTTTTTTTGTTCAAAACAAAAAGTCAATGGTTGGAAAGGATCAGCTCAGTGTGTTATTTGAACACTTCAAACGAGATTCGGGTTGAACTGGATCGATTTTCTAATTTATCTAATTTTGACATGGTTCAGCACTACTTTTCCACGCTCCACATTCAAGTGGAGAGGTGAAAAAAGAACGGCAAGGTTAGGAGAGACAACGAAAAAGAGCACCGGGGAGTTGAAACTTTTAAGTAAAATTATACAAACATTAATACATAATGGCACTCAGTTAAGAGGCCAACGGTCTTCCATTCTTAATTACTACTATTTGATTGAGCGCATTTTCTTTCGTGGGATTAATTACTTGAGGTATGACAGGTTTTTTAGTTCATTTTATTCCTTTACTTCAATTTTGGATATTTTAATTATTCTCTAAAGTATGAAATCCGTCCTGTTTTAATTCTTGAACTTTGAGCATCGTTTACTTATCATTCTGTTAGTCTTGACAATTTTATGAGATTGGTTTCATACTTTAAGGAATAAAATATTCAAGTGAAGTTTACGAACTAAACTGTGATAGATTCCATATGTAACCTACAAGTACAAAGACCAAAGTGAGAGACTGCATCTTTATTATTAGTTTAAGCAGCCAAAGTAGAATTTGCCCAAATTTCTGACCTAAGTTGTTGACATAGTAGTGTGTTTTGATCTGCACGCTTTGATCACATAAAACAAGTTTTAGCCCAAAAGATAGACCGTCAATAATTGCAATTCGAAAAATTTAAACCCGTAAAGACAAATAATTTATGTTAGTCCACCATGAAGGAGTGGTTTGCAGAAGTGCTTGTGTTGGACCATTGGTTGGATAATTCAATTCCAGGGCTTAACATGTTATTTCATGGCCATTTGGCTAGGTGAATTGTTATATATAAGATAAGATGAACTATATATATATGATATATATATGAGCCATTGAACACGATCCTCACTTAACCCATGTTTAAAAATTCAATTCATTACTTAAATTTAATGAATTCAGACCTTAACATATTCATACGCGTTTAATAACAAAAAATTGAACATCATTAAGTGACGCTGAATTTTCTAGATAAAATTTGCTCCTAAAATTAAGTGATAAATTATTTACTTATCACTAAATATAATATAAACTTAAATATATTAGATTTAATACTTAATAATTTAATAATTTAATGAATTCAGACTTCAAGATTTCAGATTTCAGACTTCAATTTTATCAAAGGCACCTTGACTTTGGAGGCAGACACAATTCAAACATACCTATTGCTTTTGTTCTAGCAGAAAATAGAATGTATATTATTCCAACCGAATCCTCTAAACTTCACATGCATCATGTAATGATGATTTATTTGCATCAAAGTTTGGGATTAACGTGATGTCACAATTAATCATTAGTTAGACCACGATGTTGACTATCCCCATTAACGAAATTCGTGAGGTAACATGTGCAATGTTCGCCGCGCCACAGGCCAAACCAAGGAAAAAAAAAAAAAAACACTCACATACTTAATTCCAATCTTTTCAAACTCGAACGTGTTCACAAACCGAATTCTTAAAGATATGTAACTTCGGACTTTTCTTCGTTCTTCTTATTATCACACCAAATTTCTCCGTCGTGGTTATCGTTCTGGAAAGCCTTTCATTTTTCAAAGAATGCGGAGTCTGCGGGAAAAAAAAAAGTCTCTTATGTAGTGGAGGTGGTGATGATGATTACGGGAAATCAGAACCTTGTTTCCTAGGATTGGTCCCAGGAACCTAAATAATGAAGTTGGGAAGCATTATCTTACGTACTAACGTATAATTGAGACTTTAACAACAGCTATAAGTTAACAACGTATCCGTCCAGTTGATTAGCTGAGAGCTCTTAGAATTCTCTCTATTGTCAGTTTAGAATTCGAATTTTAGTTTTTTAAGTTTACATTGGAAATCTATGTTTAATAGTTGAGGTTAGGAATCACTGAAATTGGTCTAGTAATTCGGAAAAAACTCTTCAGGATTTGAATTCTAGTTTTTAGGTTCAGAATTCGAAACCTAAACTTAATAGTTGAGATTAGGAAGGGTGAGAGGTAAACAAACAGAAAAAAAAAAACGTATCACTTGTCGTGGCCTGTTAGGACCCAAAGATTGTGATCAAAACATTGCTACTTGACAGTATACCAAAATTTGATTGTTGGCTAAAAGACAACGAGTAAAAATTTTCTAAAATAAAACCGAGAGACAATTCAGATAATTTATTTAGATGAGTTGGAGTAGTTCAATATCAACAGGTTTTAATTGTTGAATTTTGCTAAATGAGACGTTCTCTTTTTATATTTAAAAAAAAAAAAAAAAAAAAAGCTGGTTATAACTGGCACATGTTTGCAGAAAAAAATATGCTTTATTGATTCTTACCAAGTCAATTGAAATTGTTACAATAAAATGTGCTTTAGTTCCCAAAATCCCGCAAACTAGTAATTTCCCTGCTCGTGGATGAAAATCTTTGATTGAAACTTGTAAATATGAATAGTAGCCTGGAGAGGGATAAAACTTAAATAAGACAATAACCACAATAATCAAATGAAGCACAAATAAAGCAGCCTATCTCTCCCTCTCTCTCTCCAAAATTAGCTCAATTTGCCTATATATCATTGTTCATAATTCTTTTCTTTTTTTTTTGATTAAATCTTATATACACTGACAATGTATACACTATTATCATTGGATTTATGACACGTGTGCCAAAGTTAAATTTTAAATTTAAATTTTATATAGTTATCGTTCATCCAATGCTGACGGTGTATACACTGTCAGTGTAAGAAAAATTAACCTTTTTTTTTATACTTCCAATCTTGAATATAACAATTATTTTAGAAAAAAAAAAGCTTACATTGAAAGAACAGGTCTACAATTCCTATACAAATTATTTCTCCCAATCTTATTTTATACACATAATGCAAAACAGACAACCCACATGTGTTACGGGATTTTTGGACTGTGTGCTTAATGTCCAAAGCTCGAAAGGAATCTCCAAATGATCACTGAAGTCTTTCTGTCTAAATCTGTATTCTACATTTAATCGTCCTCATCTTGTATGTTGCGTAAAGAAAAATATCACTCTGCCTAAAAAATATCTAATCATCCCTATAAACGACAAATTTGCTTTCCTGGGATTATTTCACGATCAAATCTGAGTGCATCTTTCTTGCGATTGCTTCAATTGCAGAGATCATCCATATTCCACAAGCAATATCCCAGATCATCGTCACTCAGCCAATTGTTTTGTGCACAGTAGTTATCACCAGCTGGCCCTGTAGAGCCGCCCATCGCTGTAACAGGTGCTGCTGAGCTCAAGTTTTCCATATCTTGATAACTAGTGCTGTCAACATTGTAACATTCATTTTGAGAATGACCATAGGAATTGTTGGGAGCCATGTCATAAAAGGGATTTTCTATGTATTCGGAAAATTGAGGGACCGGAGAGATATTCGTGGATTCTGATGAAGACATGCTTGATGGGCTGCTGCTAATCATGTTTCTCTGATGACTATCCGGGAAACTGTATGGTACCTGTTGCGGTTGTTTTGCTGCCATTGAATTGCTAACTGCTGCCTGAATTTCAGCTAAATTGTCATGTTCTGATGAGTCCCAATATGCAATATTTCCTTGTACCTTTTGAAGCAACCGAGGAATCCAGACACGGCGAACTAGTTCTTGAAACTCACTGCTGTTGGAGTCTATCTTCAGATGGCGGGCCTGCTTTTGTACTCTTGTTCTCCAGTAGTTCTTGATTTCATTATCTGTTCTTCCCGGAAGATGTTGTGCAATCTTTGACCACCTTCATTATCATTTATGAGAAACAAATTAGCTTCATCGGCGTCCAAATTCAGTATTAGGAAGCAAATTGAATTTGAATCGTGCCCTTTTAATTTTCTTCACATCCGAGTACAACTTCAACTTCAGGATCCAAAATCATATGGGACTGGACAAGTACGAATGCAGAAGGTGAAACATGCAATGGTAGGGATGAGGATGCAAATTCGGGCCCAAATCCGCGCAAATTTCATCTAAACAGACTTAAAAGTGTGCATTTGAGCGCAAAAAGCCAATTACCAAATGAATACCTGTTGCCCCACTTGGAATGAAGCTCAAGAATCAAGAGCTGTTCCTCTGGACTAAGATTTCCTCGTTTAACATCCGGTTTAAGATAGTTGAGCCATCTCAATCTACAACTCTTGCCAGTTCTATTCAATCCTATGTGTACACAACACGAAATTTCAGCAAAACTGTACAGTTGAAACTTTGGATGAAAAGAAACATTGATTTTGTGCTCAGCTTTCGTGGCAACGAACATATGTGCTTACCTGAACGTTTCGCTAGCAAGTTCCATCGGCCTTCACCATGAGCAGCAATGTAATGAACAAGAAGAGAATCTTCTTCAACAGTCCAGGGACCTCTCCTGAGCTCACCACCTGCGGCATCATCATCACTACAACTGCTTGTAGTTGTACTCTTAGACAGGGAACACATGGCTGGCTTCTATTTTGAGTAGGGTACCGAGAATTTTGAGGAATTTCAAGACAAACTGATAATTGGGCTTACGAGTCTAAGCTTTGAAGGCGAAGCACTGACGCAACAGCAGCAAATCCATGATTTATAAGGTACGAGGTCTTAGTACTCTAACCCACTGTTCACATGTTACTTTTCAAAGGAAGTAGCCGCGAAAGCAGACTTTATAATGCACAGCTTCTTTTCTTTTCCCTATTCTGTTTTTTTTTGGTCAATGTAGCATAGGATTTCTATTGGAATTTTTACTCTCCTTTAGAATTTCAACCAGTCAAAACATAAGAAATCACTGGAATATTGTACCTATAACATCGCCCACAAGCAGAATTCCAGGTTAATTTTTCTTTTATTCTTCTACATCGAGAAAATTAAGGACTGAAATAGAGGTGGCCATGGTTTAGGTTTAAACCAAAATCGGACCGAAATTAGCTCGAAGGTTTGTTGAATTAGGTTTTGGAAACCGAAACCGAAACCGAAATCATAACCATGACTAAAGGTTCAAGTTTAGATTCACTAAAATTTTGAACCAGAACCGGCGGTTTAGAATCTGTTCAAATCGTCTAAAAAAAATATTTACTACTTAAACCTGTTTGTCTTGTTTAGAGTCCAATATCAATAGTTAGCACCTAATACCAGTAATTAAAGTCCTAATCTAATAATCTACTGTCCCATTCTTTTAGTAAATCTATAATCAATGATTAATCTAAATCTAAAACCAATCTAATCTAATCAATAATGCGATATTTTTCAAAAAATTTACACATTTTTTCTTTTTCATCGCACATGATAATGCAATAAACACACACACACATATATATATATATATATATATAGGAGTTCAAATATCGCAACCGTAACCGTCCCTCTATGGGCTAATTCAAGTTCTACCTTTCTAAAGAATCGAAACCCTTGGTTTTTAAATTGGAACCAACGGTTTTGGAATCGTGACCATGTCTAGATTGAAATATGAAAATAGTTGTGCTTTTAGTAGAGATCCACCATATGCCAATATAGAGTAGTACAATTCCTTTTCTTTTTTTTTTTTTGCTTTTTAGTATAATTGAAAAGGTCTCGAACTCGAGATTTTTCACTTACACTTCCTTCTTCCCATACCACCTAACCCTTTCCTCCCCCTAATATAATATGTGTCTGTGTATGTTTTTTTTTTTTTAAATAATGTGTTTTGAATATAATTTTCAAACATTTTTTTTATTTTAATTCTAGCAAAACTTTATATTTTACAATATGAAGATACCTAATATTTTCCCCTATGTAGTGAAGTTGAGAACTAAAGCTTTACATGCACTTTTAATGGAATACAATAATCTTTTAGAGGCAATTAAAATCCCAGCATGCCACCTTAAAGAAAATCTCAATATGCCATCCCCGTAAGTAACACAGAGTATCAATATCAAGGAACAAAAGTAGGGTCGATTAAGGTGGCCGGATCAGGACTTTTACCTTGTAAAGTAAATGATCAAAATAGCTTTTGGTCTTCTTCAATATGGTAAAGTCGAGCTCAAACCATTTTCTTGAAAAGAAAATAGGAGGAATAGGGTGATTTTGCGAAATTGTTAAATCAGCTTAGATACCACGAGGCTTGGGGTTCCTTTTTAATTACATCATAGGTCTACTAAAAAATAATTCTCTAGTCCTAAAGTTCCTACATGGAAAAAAAGATAATACCCACCGTTATCAATGAAGAGCTAGATCATCAAAGAAAAGGCAGTTTTGACAAAGAAATTGAAGGCAACACAGCATTCTTGACAATGACAATTACAAAACCTTGAATCGATCATTAGAAGGAATTAGTTTTTAAAAACTTCGCGGTTTGTCATTTCTAGTTTCTTCCAATTATAAAAAACGTACTTGACTAACCAAGATGAAACCCTGAATCAAAACCAAAACGTGGGTTAATTTATGTCCGTCTAACTGATAGGGGCGGCAACCATATTTCTAGGCATCTAGCTTTTGCTTGGAATCTTAAAACACAGTTCCCTTTTCCAATTGCATGGCTGTCATCTGATTTTCTGTCAATTTTGCTTAAGAGTTGTAGTTTTCTTTTTCAAGCAGAAGTGGTACGTTTTTTAAGTATTTGGTACTTGACTTCTGGTTTCTCCAGAATACATCCATTTTGGAAACACGCGAGGAGTAGGACAATTGTAAGAGGCTGCTAATGCTTAATGCAGCTAAATTTGACTTTTATAATCTACATCTTGCCTCCAATGCATGTTTCGGGTTGATGACTCCTTGAATATCAGGAATCCCTTGGATGCGATGCTCATGAAGGTTCTTGCATTCTCTTATTCTCTGCTGATATGCTCTTGCCATAATAATAATAATATGCAGCCTTCTTTTAATGGAAGCCAATTGTTTTAGTGACGGTATTATTTCTGCCGTAAATGCAATTACTACTAGTATTTCACGTTGAGAGCCCGAGTACAGGTCACATACTATTCGCAGAAGGGCTGCAATTCGTCAAGATTCAGGGCAAATAGAATATAAACATCTGACGACAATCCTAAAGGAATATATATAAAGAATGAGCTGATTCTATGCTTCTAGATGCCATTCAATGCTTCATACAAAGCTACTATATCCAGCGCAGTACAACTTTGGAGTCTCCTGATTCTAGTCAAGGTTAAGTGTATATAGCTTGGACGGCGTTAACTTACTAACTTAAAAACCAAAAAAAAAAAAAAAAAAAAAAACAATTAGGAACATGCTAGTGCAAAGCAATCAAATTCTCACGTTTTTTTCTAGAAATTTTCAATAAGAAAAAAAAAAAAAGAATTCCTCATGTTTCCTCGATCTTACTTGAGAGTCAGCGATTGGAATTATTCGTTTGGACTGATGGAAGCGGGTCGTGGTTCTCTTCATTGCATTTCTATTTTTAATTTCGTACCACTTTTTACTTATAATTTATTTTTGGTAAGACAACATGCTCCCCCCCTTCACAACTCAGGAAGAAGAATAATTGGACTTTCGTAGCAGTTAGCACAACATTCTTTTTTTGTTTTTTGTTTTTGCTTTTTTTAATTGAGGAGGAGAACTTATCAATTATCATCATCATAGTGGTACTTGTGACTTCCACACCTAGCCAAAAAAATTATTTTTTAACTGTAAATCAAATTTAACAACTAGTTTGGCAGTCAATATTTGATGAGAAAAGAAAAAAAAAGTGAGAGAAATGGAACATTTCATCATTTAGCCAGATTTTTCAAGATTAAAAAAAAAAAAAGGGCTTGATTTGGACGAGTTGATTTTAACATTATTATAATTTTAAAAGCTTTTTCCGCCCATTTATGGACTGATTTGGACACAAAATTGGAGAAAATTTTTTCAAATACTAATAATGCCTTCCTTAGATGGCCACTAAACAAAATTTCAATAGTGTATGAAACGTTTCCAAATGTTGTCTTGTGATTTTGGTTTGGTGTCGAAGTGCAACTCTGATCTTCCAGAAGTTTGGACTCTTTTTTTCCTTCTTTAATTGATTTTCTACGTCATTTGTATCCCTTCTTTTTTTATTCGCATTTCTAAGTTATTTTTCTCTCACCTTGTACGGTACAACTAAATATCTTTTTTTTTTTTTTGATAAGGGTTAAAATCGTAATCTTAGCCGCTGGAAACATTTACTTCATACATAGTAGAGAGACTCCGCCAATCATTTCAAACAATCATGAAATATGACTAGGAATGTTGAAGATTTGATTAATTAGTAGCTAGGAAGAAAGGATGGCATGGCATGGAGTCTCAAGTCAGAAGTTGTACAAAGACCACAAGAAGACCACGCAATCCATGGATGAAGATTAGCAATTTCTTTCTTTCTTTCTTTCTTTTCTTCTAACACCAATGGGATGAAGATAATGAAGTTTAAGGATGAGAATCAAGATAATCAATCATGCGCGATCAATGGCGCAATCGTGATTTGTATTACTTGAGAACTAAATGAAATCAATGACAAAATACTGCACTGTTTCCTTATAGTGACTGTGTCATCACAAGAAAAATAAGTTGTATACGGCAAGAATTTGTTAATTCTGAGATTATCTTTGATGCAGATGGCCAAATTCTGACATCACAAGAATGTGTCATGATAATGACAATAATTGAACAAAAAAAATTCCATCCACTGCAAACACCTCATTAATGCATTACTCGAAGGAAAGGGAACCCTACTGATTAAGCTCCTGAGTCCTTTTGACGGAGAAATTGACATTGATGTAAACCATTAATAATGTTTTCCAAGATATTCATCAAATTTCCATTTCTTTATCCAACCCATCCCTCAGATGTCTCTCTCTTTAGGATGCTACTGCAGATGAGTACCTATTGGATTTACACTTGCTTCGTAAATAGACTTGGGATTATTCTCTTTCAAATTAGCCTTCCCAGTGAGACTCCATCTTGATCAGCTTATTGGACGGGGTATATGACTAAAGTTGTATGGGACGAGGTATAAACTGGCAATGCAGCAAGGGTTGTCTTTAGCAGCAAATCTTGATCAGCCAAAATAGCAAAATGTTTTCTTGCACCCTCTGGTTCTGTGCATCCTCTCCTTATCAAACAGTAAGCATCACTCTGCATCTACACTAAAGTTGAATCTCTTTCTGCTAAAAATTCAAGTTCAGAGTTAAGACATCTACTTTTATGCACCATTGAACTTACTCTAAAGGGCTTTACTTGATGTCTTGCTGGAAACTTATTGTTCAACACATTTAAATCTGCATTGCTGTCAAGACTTGTTTAAATTCGTAATTTGTCCTTCATATTATGATGCAGTTCTAGTCCCTACTGGACAAGACATTTGTTACTAGCATAGCTGATGATTCTTATCTCGAAATTTGCATTGATCTTTTTCAACTTCAAAATGCCAACTACGGAATGAAGTAATGATCCATGCATGGAACATTATATGCTGTTTCTCAATCTTTTTAAGATATCAGCGTGAATGCATAAGTTTCTTAATTGAACAGACTAAAGTACGCAAGTGAGGTTCTTCTTTTCTCATCTGTCATCTACATCTGCCATTTATGTTCTAATTCATGTGGATTGATTCAACAAGGTTGCAAATTAAAACATACAGGGAACTGCCTAGGAAAAATAAGCAAGTGAACATCTATACGAAATATTTGAGAGCTTGAACAAGAGAAGCGAGGAACTGATATACCTGGCATTAAATGAAACTGCTATACCATACATGATGGAGAGAACTCATACCGCCAAGGGCAAAACAGCTCAATGGAGAACGGAGATACCTTGTCAAGGCTCTAAGCGTGTTACACATTTTATTATCACAAAATAGTTGTCATCAGCGGAAAATGTGTACAGAACATGGATATGCTTATACTTACAAACTCAAATTATTAAGAAAAAGCCAGAACAACAAAGTCATAGCAATTTTGGCACCCATGCCTGCTCCTGCATTACTTAGCCAGTAACGAATCATCGAGCTGGGACCTTTATCCAACCATTAGCAAAAGCAATGGCCAAGATTACAAAGGGTGTCGACATACCAAATATGATAATGTAAGGTAGAGGCGTCTTCATGGGATTCTCCCCTTCCCTTCTCCTGCTGTCTGCCAATACCTACACTTAGCAAATATCTTATGCCAATTAATCCCCTCAACAAAAATACTGCTATGAAAAGTTAATGCTATATTCAAATACTTTATTTATATACATTGTTGAAACTAACTAATTATAAATCCTATTAGGTCGCCACAGCTGCCAATGTGGACAAGGAAAGTGAGCCAGGAAAAGGCTATCCCTTCCTGGAAGATAAGTAAACGAGTGGTTGAGAGTTTTGAGAGGCTTACTCCGTTGGTTCTTCTTCTTTAGTGATGAATTTCTTCTTCCCTCCCTGCTTGACTTCTCCCTCCTCTCCTCCTAATCAGTATCAAGGGGAAAAGGTCATCAAGTTAAACGTTAGCCTCATTCCAATTACCACATAAAAACAGTCATAAATTAGTAAAACATAATTAAAAAAAAAAGTATAAGCAACACTTCACTCTTACCCAATTTTGCAGATATTTGGACAGAATTTTGCCTTCTCTTTGATGAGCTGAAAGCATTAGGTTGAGAAGATGGAGAGAGGAGATTGTGGGTTGGTGCAAATTTTGTGACTAGAGCAGAAGAAATTGCCACCTTGGCTGCCATTGCTGCAGCAAAATATCAGCACTAGGAGTTATTTTTCAAGTGATATTATAAGTAGACCATCAAAATCAAATGTATATCTGGAATCTATCTCGTTAGTTGTGGATATGATTGCAGTTATATCTGATATCTTCCTCTATTTTACAATATCTGGAGTCTAGACAGAAAAGTGCCTCATCCATACATCAATTTGTCTTGAACACGTGGCGCACATTCACATTCTGGGCTCTCTGAAAATCTGTTGTCCTGTGCTTGACTGAGGTTGACCTAATAAAGTAGTTGCTTCCAAGTTTTCCCTTGTGCTCAGCCCAACCCAAGAGGAAACCATATTACCATACTATTAGCAAATATATAAACAACTAAGCCCACTATTTTTCTGTATAGTTACTAGCTTCCATTTTTTAAGATATAATTAGGACTGCAATAATATCACAGTTCAATATATTTATCAACCATTCATTAACCTTAGTACAATTGATTAAGTTGAAGTTTTCACATGACCTAAAAAAAAGGCGTGAATCAACAAGGAGTTGTCTTTTTGAAATACATCATTATGGAGCTGATGCATCAGTCCTTATCTAGTGAAGATTTGCACTTTGAGGGATGAGATATAATGCTCAAAGATTTATTTATTTATTTTAATTAGAATTACTAATCTGTATGCGAGTACCCAAGTGTTGATGACCAGATTCGTCTCGTGGATACTGTGGTAAATAACTATACTAACCAAAATCCAAAAAAGGGTGAGAAAACTAGTCTACAGGACTGTATATTGTTGGTGCTCATAGCCTCATACTGCAAAAGCATACAAACTTGAGGAATAGCAAGTGCTCATACAAACTTGGGCAAGCAGTAGCTCGTGAGCAACTTGGCCATACACTCGGTTCAAACTCAGTTTCATATATATATAAGTCGAGTTCGAGCATTAGTATTTAGCATCAAATGTTCGAAAAGCCTAATTGAGTAGTTATATTATTTATATAATATATATTTTTTAATTATGAATTAACTATTATATGTTCATGTCTTTGCAAAAATCGAGCTCGAACTTGAAAAGGCTCATAATATTCTTGAGCTCAAACTTAATTACGATAGCCTTGATTCAAGTTCGACCTTAATGTTACGCACTTGTCAGTAGCACTAGTATCGACCGTGTTTAAACTCAAGTATAGCGATACTCAAACTTGACTAGATTCGATAGCATCCCCAATTCATACCTCAAAAAACATACAAATTTGAGGAACAACAAGTACCAAATCTCAGCAAGTGCTAATACTACAAAAGCATACAAAGTTGCCGAACAGCAAATACCAAAAAATAAATTAATACACACTTGAGGAACAGCAAATACCAAAAAAATAAATTATTACAAACTTGAAAAACAGCAAATACCAAAAAAAAATGAATTTATACGCTAGAAGGAGGGCTTGAACCTCCGACCTTGTGGTTAACAGCCACACGCTCTAACCAACTGAGCTATTCCAGCTCTGTTAGTGGCAGGTCAAATTTATAGTTATTAAATTAGTAGACAGGGCTGTATGAAACTCCTATTTCCAGCCCAGATTCCAGCCCTCCTCCCTTCCCCCACAAAAACCTAAGGGGACAAAAAAAAAAAAAAGAGGCTTCGGTTAGATAAAGCCATAAAGGCTCAATTATGTCAAGGTTCCTCAAAACAAGAAAGAAGTTATGTAAAGTTTTAACAATGAAAAAAAAAAACTTTCAAAGAAATTCAAGTTATTGCATACAAAAATTGCACTCACATATTGCATCAGGAGTCAAACATTAGGCAAATGAAATTACAGAGGGCGGCCCCAGAAAATTCATCTAAAAAGTGAATACTCAACGTGGAAACATGAAAACTGAAGAAATAAAAAGAAACAACTCGTTTCTGCTAGCTAATGATTCTTTGATCCAGTTTTTAAAAGGAGCCGACTGAAAAGTAGCTCTTGCCTCTGAATATGTTAATTTCTGATCACTTTTTAACAATATTTGTTAGATGGGTTGAACCCATTGGGTTTCTTTAAAAGTTGAAGGCAAATGAAAATGAAACATCTAATCTTTTATCTCATTCCACTAGAAATCTTTTCCCTTTTTCTGGTCATAAGCAAACAACCACTTGCATTTAGTGAAGAGTGGGGAATTGTGGTGAATCTTATCCTCATGTCTGTCTGATGAAAGATCATTTTCACCAATGTAAATAATTTTGGTCAATCAAAATTCAATCTGTAGTCCTCAACCACTTCTGAAAGCGATTGCTAATAACCAAATGAATTGCATACTAATCATTCTTATGGTCTCACCTCATCCGTGAAATGAATTATTCTGATGCTGTCTGCAAGATTTCCACACAGAATAGCACTAAGATGGTTTAGTTTTAAACGTAGCAAAAGGAACTGCCTACCAAACCACTGTTTTCCAGGATAGGACTATATCTTGCTTTTACACTTGTCCACAACTTTTGATCATCTTCAGATCAGAAAGGAGTAAAAATTATTCAGCTGATCTTTCAAATTGTGATGTTTCCATTGCCACTTTCACTGATGATATTCAGCCGCAAGGATGCGTCTCCCTCAACTTAAATTGTGCCCCAAAAGAAACAGTTGGTTAGACTTCTTCTTAATGAAGTTTGTTACCTTGCAAGTATGTTTTTCTGATATGGAAAGCTCAAAGGGAAATTGATGGGTCCAGATTAATTGGATATCTATCTCCTGAAGATGGTCCTACCCGGGGAACAAAACTACAGAAACTCAAAAAGCCACGTGGCCCTCTAAAATGCTGCACCATTCCAATCTTCTAATGCTATAGAAAATAGTACCGTTTAAAAAAAAAGGTAGTAGCAGTAGTAGTAATCAGTAGTATTTCTCCGCTATATAGAAGGCACTGACTCCCCACTACCAAAAGAACTGCCAATACAATATATTCAATAATCTTTCATGGCTCAACACTTCATTTCGGATGTGCAAAACATCAGACAATCATTCTCCTTATCTGATGTTGATCCAAACATGGAAATGATGAGTCAGTTTCCAGAGTTGAATCCAGGAGCTTTAGATTCCTCAAACTTTACGAATGTGCAGCCTTCAATGGGATTTTCTTTCCATGAAAGTAATATCAGTCAACTCCTTGATCAGTTCCCTGGAAATTTAGCAGAAAACTTCCCTGGCATTTTCCCTAGCGATTTCAAGAACGTCCTCTCACTTCCTGATCCCATCTGTTCTCTGCATATGATCATACCCTTCATGAAGGCAAGAAAAGGAAATTAACAGACACCCCGGAAAGTAGTTCAGCTAATTCATCTGCTCAAATCTCCGAAAATGGAAGCAGAACAAAAAATGTAAGGCTCTTAGGTCTCTCAATACTTCAATGAATCATCGTATTTCTTAACATTCTAGAATTCAATCTTTTTCATAGCCATTTATTTGAGGTAGAATTGACATGTTTATATTGCCTTCAGTGTTCACAGATTACAGGAAAAGGAAAAAGGATAAGAAGCAATAGGAAGGACGAAGAGAAACCAAAAGAAGTGGTACATGTTAGAGCTAAAAGAGGCCAAGCTACCGATAGTCACAGTTTAGCAGAAAGGGTAAGTTTTGAAATGTTATTTCGACCAAATTCCCCATTTTGGATAAGTCAGAGGTTCCTTTTCTTTTACCTTTTTCTGCCTTTTTCTTCAACAATGTCAATGTCTGCTAGAAGCTAGTGTCACTCGACTCATCATAGAGAATAACAATTTTGTATTATGAGACCAACACATTTGTCGATTGATCAGGTCAGAAGAGGAAAAATCAATGAGAGGCTTAGGTGCTTGCAAGACATTGTTCCAGGCTGCCACAAGGTATATGTCTCTTTAATGGTATTATATTGCTCTATTTCTGATTTTAATTCAATTAATATGCTAAAAAAAAAGGTGCAGTATTAATTAAACCTACGGTGTACGTCATTGAATTGCAGACAATGGGCATGGCAGTGATGTTGGATGAGATAATTAATTACGTGCAGTCCTTACAAAATCAAGTTGAAGTGAGTTGAAACAAATTAATCAAGTATTACACAATTTTAGAAACAAAAAACAAAGCACTAACCAGTTTAATTAATTTGGTCGGTTTCAGTTTTTGTCCATGAAGCTTACAGCAGCAAGCAACTTCTACGACTTCAACAGAGAAACAGACACCATAGATACACTCCAGGTGCTTTGACTATTTGGAGAAATTTGAACTATCGCATTGCATAGCTCATTAATTTTGCTTATTAATTAAAGCTTGCATGCTCCTTTTATACTTGCAAGAATATAATTATCTCAAATTCAAGTCCCATATCAATGTTGTTGGTAAACCCAAATATGTATTAATTCGCGCCACATTATATATGATTTAGTCCAAGTTATATAGTTAAAAGTACAAAATTTCAGTGGATTCGTGCATTGCCTCGAGTGTCTAATGAGAATGTTTTTGTTTATCAGAGAGCAAAGGCATTTGAAGCAATGAAGATGCAAAAGCTAATGAAGGAAGAGTTTGATGGGGTTCCTTCCACTCAAGTTGGACCTCTTGACCAGACTTTTGGATGTTATCCTTCACTGCCATTCAACACATGAAGATGTTCCATGTTCCCTAATCAAATTTGTCCCACTTGTTATAGCAAATCCAAGAAAGGAGAAGAGGATTGCCCCCACTTGATTCTATTCAATTTTACACAAGCTGATATGAAAATTATACTTGCATGATCATGCCTCCTCACAAATGTAGCAAATTAACCAATAATTAATGAAGTGTACAATCTCATTTTTCTTATTCCTATGTTGGTTGATGACACTTGATTGGAATGATTTAAACATTGAAATGAGTGGTTGGTTCCCGACAAGTTGATAATGTGTATTACAATCTTGCCTTCCAATCCAAAGTGTGATTAAACACCTAATGGCTTTAATCAGTGGTGGACTACAACAAGAAGTCAAGAAATGCTTACAATGTCTTCTCAACTCAAATGCCGACTGCATACCACCTAAACATGTTTTTGACTTTAAACTCCAATAATTTCCCATTAAGCATGAAATGGGCACAACTATTGAGCAATAGCGTTAAATGTTTTGTCATTTGGTTTTGGCCTTTATCAAAGATTAGTGGTGATCCTTTGCTTTCTGATTTTGATAGCAATGATTAGACTGATGTAATTCCTTCTTTGTCTTCGTCAAGGAATGCCATCACTTGTTGGATGGAAATATAATAATCGAGGGATTGTTGGTAATACATGATAATAATGACTTGTATTTTGTCAGCATCACAGGTTATACATCACTAATTCTTTCAAATGCCTGTCAAAAATTATAAAGAAAGAAGAGTAAAATAAAAACTGCAGTCATAGTTGTGGCTCTTTCGTTCTTCTTGAAGACGTGAGAATCATAGATCAATGTCACCCAAAAAAGAAAAAAAAAGAAGAAGATTTTTTAATTTCCCATCGTTTGTGATTCAGAATTGTCAGTCTTGGCATAAATTAAAGAGGTGAAAAAGAGGCCTCTTCTATAATTCATTTTCTTTTAAGGTTTACAAAGAGAAGCAGCCTTTAAATTCATGTCTTGAGGCATCATATGATATTATTTACCTACTTCACCCGTTCTTGACAGATCTTATAAGTGTTATGATGTGATGTATCTAGAGCTAGAAAATTTTTTGGTATTATCTAATGGGATTTTCTAATAAGTGCCAAGTTAATATGGTTAAGAATTAATGAATGCATGTATTATGTCATCTTTTGGAAAGCTATTTTTAAGCTATTCACATGTAAATGACATATCTAACCCTTTTCCTAGAAACAAACCTAGTAAACCAAGCAGATACAATTTGTTTAATTAAGAGAATTAGCATATCATACACGATTTGCTAGTTTTGTCAAATTTTATAGAACTTACTTACCATTTATTTTTGTGTTTTTTTTTACAAGTCTTAAAATTTTATTATTCTGTGTTTCCTTCCAAAATAAATTGTATTTTTTTCCTTTCAATTTGCCATCTTATGGTCAAAATAGTTCCAATTTCATAATGGTCCTTCTTTATTTTTTTTTTTTTGGGTTAGCCGTAATGATCTTATTTTGATTTGGTTTAGAATTTGGGAACCTGCTACTCTTTATAGTTAAAAAAAAAAATAAAACAATAAGTCATTTTAGGAACATTGACGATGTTATGTATCTTCTTTTAGACAAAGCGAGAGACAATAGCACAAAGTTAGCCACATTTTTGTTCTTATTTGTAAGAAAAAGAATTATTAGATTTCTAAACATATGTTGAAAAAAAAAAAAGATAACTACACTTAAAAAGGAAAAGCCAAAAGAAGGGATTGAAGCTAAAGTAAAAATAACCGTGTCAAATTTTCACTATTTTTGTTAGTTTATTTGAAAAGGTAATGTTTTTTTCACTTCCCATATGTTTTTTACACTCCCACTATTCTATTTTCATTTGATGAGACCATATTACCCCCTCCCTAATTTCATCTCCTTGCCTATGAGTTAACTTTACTAGATTTTCTCTTACATTTTAAAATCAATTGATTATTCCATTACACATTAAATGGCTAATTTAAAATTGTCACTAATATGTATTTATGTATTTTTCTACAAAACTTCGCAAAATTATATGATGCCAAAGATCAATCTAAACATATAATATGAACAGATTCCAAACTTCAAGCCTTAAAAAAATAAATAAATAAAAAATCCTGAGCGTCAAAGATGACCAAAAATTTAGTATAACTACAATATCTCATAAATAAAACACTAATACTTTAAAAATTCTACTAAGAATAAGTCATATAACCACCATAGAGGGAGTGAAACTTTCCAATATATTTCAACAAAAGCATAACAACATCTAATATCCAGATGATGCAATGGAACATCAAATGTGTTCGTAAAAAATCTATAAAATTGAAATTGAAATAATAATATGAAAAATAAATTAAAACAATTATGTAGAATTAGAAAAAAAGAAGCAAAAGTTAAATTTTTTTACTTTTTAGACACGTACGACAATTGTGCCCAACTTCCTTGCACGTGAACACAAGATAAGGTAGGAAAAGAAATTAGAACAGGGGTAATATGATCTCATCAAGATGAAAATGAGATAGTGGGAGTGCAAATAACATTACCCTATTTGAAATAGTCTTTTTTTCATTTTAAAAAATTTTTCCTTTCCAAAACTTTTCTAAATTCGATATATCGCCCCTTCAATTCTAAAATTCTTCGTTTATAGTAACTTTATCCACATAAATAAGTGCCCATACAGTACCTGCCGACCAAACCATTATTCGTATAGTACTTCTTTTTTAAAATGTAATGTATATGAAATAAAAATATGATTGGAAACGTATTTTGTGATAAATAAGAAACCGTCTTTTTCCAAGTAGTTCAATCCAGACGAAGTCGGCATCGACAGATGCAATATCTGAATAATGTGAAGATAAAACACGACTTATAAGCCGTTTTATCGCGCTGACCCCTTAAGTTGAAGGGCAGGGCAAATGGATAAAAGTTCAATTAATATCTCGGAATTATTTGTAGGGCAGGGCCAAATTTAACTAATACACTAGCAACAACAACTTGAAAAATCTGTTTGTTGTTGTAATCAAGCAACTCTATCTTGTAGCACTCCCAAATTAAGGTCCTGATTCAATGGTGCTAAAAATGAGTGTCAATTCGAGGAACAACAGCATTTCTTGTAACATGAAACACTTGACAAATCCACTTCGGCTAAAGAAAGCAAGTGGTGCCCACGAAATAGATGGATACACCAAATCTAATGGATGTTGCCAATTCATCAAATGCATGATTGATAAAGGGAAAATTTTGCGAGACAAAACAGCTTTTTTTTTGTCTAATATTTTACATATACTTTCACTGGTGGCTTGTGGGTTCTAAAATTTATTATTAGGGAAAATTGTTTTTGGTACAGATTCAATGCATCCGTCAAGCAGAGAGAGCAAGAGGAAGACAGCTTACATGGGCCAAAAGCGTGCCCAAAAGAGGATGGGGCAAGGGGCAAAAATTGTGGGTTCTCCAACGTATTACCCTTCCAAAATGATATGATGATAAGAGCTTATGAATGAACATTTAAAGCAACTTTTGTTTCTCTCTTGGTAACTCAATCTCTCTGTTTTGACCCCCTTTTGACTCATTTTCTTTGCCTGTTTCTTGGAGCATGCATGAACAAGGGAAATCAATGGGTCCCTATCTATTGAATTGAATGCAAATTGGATATAGTCATACTCCCAATATAGATTGAGGATCACACATGCACACACATACATTTGCCCAGTAGGTGGATTCTTGGGACAGATTGGGAGTTAACTAATATGGGCGAGTTCAAGGATCCAAACTACAAAAGTTTTATCATCAATTCTTGGAGATGGTGGAGTTTGTTAGCCAGTCATGAACCTTAATGTACAACTATAATATATTGCCCAGAAGGCAAAAGGTTCTTGTAGATTATATGTATTGTTTGGTGGAGATAAGAGCAGCCATTGTTACCAGTTTATTCACAGAAGATCACAACAGCAGCACAAGCACGATTTTGTACTCCCACTCTCATTTTACTTTGCCAAATTTTTCTGCAATCACCTTTCTTTATCCGTCTTTTGATTCATCTACATATATACCAATGTCCCTTCACACCAAAAAAAAAAAAAAATTACTAAAGTAGGACAGCACTTGACAAAGTAGTAAAACAAATGATTGGTTGATGCTTAAACTCGTGGCGTCTGATGTACTACTAAACACATTCACAACTAGCTGGCTATTGATTCTTTGCTTGCATAAATTAGTTGGTGATCTCTGAGTTGGTTCAAATTTTGGGTAAATTAAAGTATTATAGTACACTGTTTTTTTGGCATTTTTGGCCCCCCCCATAAAAGACAAAATAAGCTTGGGGTACAAACTTAAGCTAATTCCCATGATTCATTCCATTGACCATAACTTATAAGTAGCTACTTCATTAATCTGTACAAGAAAAAAGAAAGCGATTGTATTAATGAACTCCTGTATCAACATAAGCAAGAACAAGAAGTAGCTGGCTTGTTATTATATAATAAATATAATTCAGTAGAGCAGATTGTACGAGGATTAGAAAAGATTATTACGGCCTTTCGCATTTGATAACTTGATTTGCTGTCGGATGCTGACAACTTTTTACAACAGGTCTGTAGTTTAACTAACATGCTAAGTGTAATTAATACGATTGGGATGGGAGACAATCTATACGTTAGATAAAGTATTCCTACCTTTGTCATGGCAAAAAGACGAACATTAAAGCTACTAGTTATATACTTACAATGTAACTTTGTCTACTCGTTGGGTTACAAATTAACCTAACAAAGTATATAGTATACATTAAAAGTTCTCTCTAGGCAAGATGAGCAATAATTTCATGGCAATACCAAGAGTCAAATCCAAAAAAAAAAATATTTTTTTTTGCGGCCACCTTTTGAGATTTTGGTGACAAGAAAGATTAATTCCAATAAATTAATGCCAGTATATACTCCAATAACTCTCCCAATTGATAAAGATTGGAACAAAGTTGGCCACCAGATGAGGGAATAAGTCCTTCCCTAGGTGGAGGTAAAGGGGTCGAATCCCTTGATTGTGTTTCCTCGCTCAGTTGGCCACTAGATGAGGAAATAAGTTCCTCCGTAGGTGCAGGTCAAGGGATCAAATCCCCCTTTATTGCAAAAGAAAATCTCATTGAAAAGTATTCACTGCATATACATTTCATTTATTCTTTTTTTTTTTTTGTTTGTTTTCCTTTTGT